GGTGGGTAAAATGAGGACCCGGATTGTTGTTGGGGGCGATATGCTGACTCTGTAAACTGCTTAGAGAGGGCTGAAAGCCCTATGAAGCAGGATATAAGTCTAACTGCTATTGCTATTGCAGGTGGTAAAAAAATGGGGGAGGGTTGCTCTGACCTTCGCTACTGGTACGCTGCTCGTGGTCCCTTCGTGCATGCGCCGGACGTGCGCTCTGCATGCATGCGCACTCCACCACCCCTGTGACAACCAATTGGCCCGGTTGCCTTAAAAGCAAGTATGGAATGGAGGTGGAGCAAATGAACCAGCCACTGCTCCTGATTGCTACCAGTACAGCCGTACTGGGCCGTACCAGCCGAAACCCACCACTGGAGGACACATGTGCGGGGTGGTGGTGTCGTACGTGCATTGTGTTATGGGTGCAGGCGTGCTGGCACACGCGCATTTTCAGCACGTGACGTCGAAAAGGTTAAGCATCACACGTTCATTTAAAAAAAAAAAGAAGTGCAGCGGACGACTGAGAAAGAAAAACTTACCTGGACGTCATACAAGGCCACGATGTTTTCATGTTGCAGTTCCTGGGAAATAAAAAGACAAGATAGTTCAGAGAGAAATCTGACCAAGGCCAAGTCCTGTACAGGTGGTCCTCAACCTGCGACTGAGCCCGACACCTCTGTCGTCCAGTGAGATATTGGTTAAGGGAGCTTTGCCCCCTTTTAAACCACTTTTCTTGCCACAGTTGCTAAGTGAATCCCTGCCGTCGGTAAGTCAGTAACAGGGTTGTTTTAAGCGAATCTGGCTTCCCCGTGGACTCCGCTTGTCAGGTGGTCGTGACTTTGGGGCAGAGCAATGGTCGTTAAGTGTGAACCGGTTGCCAAGCGTCTGAATTTTGATCCCATGACCATGGGGATGCTACGAAGGTCGTCACTGTGGGGAAAAGATGGTCGTAAGTTCCTTTTTTTCAGGGAGATTGTAACTTTGGCCACTAAATGAACTGTTGTAAGTCGAGGACTACCTGTAGACGCTGCTGTCAGAATTTATTCCGATTCTTGCTGAGAATCAAATAAGTGAATGGCCACTGAATCTATAGGTTCAACTGCACAGGTGGTGCCACTACTAAGAAAGTCCTGTTCTCAACACATGGAGAATGATAGAATAACAGAATTGGAAGGGACCATGGAGGTCCTCTACTCCAACCACCTGCTTAGGCAGGAGACCCTATACCAGGGGCCTCAAACATGATTTCACCGAAGGCCTGTTGTGTTTGACCTTGAGGGCCAGGGGTGGGTGGGAATGGCCAGCTGGATGTCCGTTTTCGGCCATCACGGCCTCCCGCAGTCCGCTCTGCCAGCGAAAACAGAACTGAGGAAGCTCTGGAACTCCGTTTTCGCTGGCAGAGGGCTGCAGGAGGCTGTCTCAGCCGAAAACAGGCCCTCCCGAGCTCCGATATCACCGAGCACCGGAGGCTGGTCTTTGGCTGTTTCCCGGGGGGGTCCTGTGGGCCAGATCGAAGCACCTTGTGGTCTAGATTCGGCCTACGAGCCTTGAGTTTGACACCCTTGCCCTATACCAGTGATGGTGAACCTTTTCGGCACCGAGTGCCCAAACCAGAACATGTGTGCATGTATGTGCACTGCAACGCTGGACACCCAAAGACCAGTCTTCGGGGTTTCCGACATGTGCTTGCGCGCTGCCCAGCTGGTCTTCTCGTGCACCAGAGTACTCAAAAACCCAAAGACCAGCTGGCCAGCACATGCATTCCTGTTTTTGGGGCGTATTCCGATGCTCCGGTGACCATGAAGACCAGCCGGCCAGCGCGCATGTAGCTTGCCAGAAGAGCAGCTGGCTGAGAAACAGGCCGTTTTCCCGGCTGTTTCCCGGCCATTTCCGGGCACTCCAAAAACTGACCTGAAAACAGGCCCGAAACCATCCGGAAAAACACGCTGAACGCAGACCGGTTTTTGGGTGATTTGGGGGCCGTTTTCCGGTGTTCTAGCACCCGCAAAAACCAGCATGTATATTCATGCCGGAAACCAGAAGAGCAGCTGGTGGCGCTGTGCCTGTCCACAGAGAGGACTCTGCGTGCTACTCCTGGCACGCGTGCCATAGGTTCGGCGTCACGGACCTACACCGTTTCGGACAAATGGTTGTCCAATCTCTTCTTAGAAACTTCCAGTGATGGAGCACCCACAACTTCTGGAGGCAAGTAATTCGCAATTCAATGGGTT